TGTATGTATCACATATCTAGCCTCTCCATATTTGCTCCGTTCTTAACCTAATCTATTCGCTTATTCATCTGAATAAGAGCAACCACGTCAGGCGTTCGTTAATCTTTCTAACCTGAAAACTGCTAATGATTTCTCTTCTACCAGATTGTTTGTGAGTCATCTCTATTTTAGCATCTCTTGGAACATCGTCCGACCTTCTATATATTTTACCTTGCACTGGCATTAGATGCCGTATCTTAATTCAATACCACCACATTAATAGACGGTAATAATTTTCACTCCCTGTTTATTATAGAACCAAGCTAATCTTCGCTTTTAAGTCAGCCTTATTTAAAAATCTAGCTATCTCAATTTGTATAGACAACCTCAGCGTAAAAATGCCCTTGATTCTTCATAGCCATGGTCGTTTCTTCCTTCTGTGATTAATAGAGCATCAATTACTACTTTTTCATTCATCCATTCATTATGTCTTCTAGTTTTTTACATTATCTAGTCAACCTGCTTGTATTTTTTGAACATTTCAGGATTTTCCTTTGCACTACGTTCTTTGTTTCGTACTCACGTCTTATTTCTGTGTCGGATCGTTAGATTGGTGCAGAATCATAAGCGAAATGTCACGTTAAAGTTTAATCGACAATAACTCTATTCAGCTCTTTTGGTAAGCTAAATCACTGCTGTGAATTCTATGACTAACTCATTGGGAGACTAATAAAGCCTGGTTAAAGAATGATTTTACATAAGATATTCCATTCAGTCAAAAACGATCTAGGAAAGGTTAAAATAGCGAAATTCTACGGTAATAACACTTCTTTTGAATTCGTTGTAGGTAGATAAACCATCACAAATCGGCCAATAGTATCTATTCATTTATAAAACAAGATCGCCCCTGTAATTTCGAACATACTTTTATTGGTACTCTTATCGCCCATTTTTCTACTTCATATCAAGACGAATCCGCACTGAATTCTTTCTGAGAGAAATATCGTATTTACACCTTTCCAGTGCAGATGCTGCCAGTATTATGCCAAGAGGTTCATTTGATCAGAGTAAGATAGATGTCTTGGAGTTTACTTCGCCTTTTTCAATTCTATATTTATCTCCTTGGCAAATGTATCGGTCAAATCTAGATGCATTAGCATTCACGTCATCAATTCTAGACTACTGGTTCTTTAAGAGCAATATTGAGATTTCCATTAGACAAATATCAAATTCGCAATTAAGATGGTCTGTTTAGTCTCACCTGAAAGTCAATCGACTCCTCTCGGTTAAAAAAGTTGTGCTTGTAAATCAAATCATTCATGATCTCTCCTTCCTGGTTGCCGAGAGTAACGCCTTTGTACCGGGCTTCATCAAGGAAGGTGGCATTGCGAAAGCCTTCTGCAATGATAACATTGGCTCGGTTGTCGAAAATAAGGCATTTTGTGCGGCATCCTAGCGCCGTACCATCTGGGCAATCATATGGTTTGCTATTACAGGATCGCCTACCGGCATCGCGGCCTCCGATGTGCATGATTGTGAATAACTGGTCATGTAATGTATCATAGCCAAGATCCAAACTTGTCACAGCCTCGATGCGCTCGGTGGCACATCGTTCTTCGTGTGGATCAGGACCAAGACTGTCACTAAGATAGCAGTAACCACTTAAGCAGTCCTCGTTTTGCCGGCAGTGGCAGCCACCTGGCAAAAGGCCAGCTCGACGGCGCTCCTCTTCCTCGCTAGAGAAGTAGGCAGTCACATAGTCTTCTAGGTGGAAGATAGATAAATACTTGGGTATTAGGGCTTAGGATCTGACGAAACTCAATTGAGTGCTGGGATTAAGGGGGAGACTGTCCTTACAAGACCGGGGCATATGGTACATTAAAATGTTACGGCCAACACCTTCAGTTTTTCTTAATTCGGTAGGCTGTCAATTCCTGAATCATAAAATGGCCAATGGTGATCCAATATTATTA